CCGCTCCCCTCGCCCCCGCTGCTGGGGTTCGGACGCAGAGCCGTTCCTCGTCCTGCTTGGGACCCGTTGGACCCCAGGAGATGCTTCCCTTCCTGGGCTCTCGAGCTTAACCCACCACGCGAGCCGGCGCCGGGCGCTTCGGGCGCTTCGCGTTCCTCTCTCTGTCCCCCCCATCTCTTCCCCAGGCACATCTGGCCACATGTTGGAGTGCTTTTTATCCACCAGATGCCCTTGGTTACTTCTTCCGTCCCGCGCCCACTCCCCACAGTTCCCTCTCGTCCCCGGTGCCGGGTTTTAGGTGGAGAGCAAAAGTTGGAGCCGGGATGGGAGAGGGAGATGCCCCCCCCCCACCTCGGGGCCGGGTCGGTGGCCCCGGCGGGCCGGGCCGGCCCCCTCTGCGCGGAGCACCCCGCGCCGCCCGGTCTTCCTCCCGTCCCGGTCCTGGCGGGGGGCGGGGGGGCGATATCTCTCCGTTTCTGGGTACAAACAATGGCGAGAGCTGGACGGCCCCGTGCGCGCCGGGGATCGCCGGGGCGCAGCTGCCGCCGCCCGGGGAGAGAAGGCCCCGCCCGCGCCCTGCTCCCCCGGGAGGCCGGCGGCCCTGACAGCAGCTGTCTTGGATCCCCCGCTAGTCTGGGGGTGCAGGGCGGGAGGATGTGTCGGAGAACCGGGGGTGGGCTGTCCGTGCCACGCAGTTTTTGTCTTCGGGGGACTTGAGATCTTTTCTTCTTCTTCTTTTTTTTGAAAGAAATGGGCACCACTGTCCGCTTAGCCCTTTGGTGATGGTGCTGCCTGCCGTCGGGCAGGTAGGGGGCTGCCAGGCTGGTGCCTCGGGTGTGTTCCCAGGCCTAGCAACGTCTGGGAACAAAGTGCTTGCTTCCACCTTTTATTCTCAGCATTAGACTCGTTTTGAGGGTTTTTTTTTTTTTTTTTGTCGTCCCAGTCCGAAGATCTATGGGCTTTTCACCCTCAGAATGAGAAGTTAATACTGCCGTAGTGCAGAATTGACACTGGAAGGAAATGGTAAGGACAGGTTACCACCGAGGCCCTGGCGCAATCTTCTCGGGGCTCCTGGGTGAAGTAATATTGCCGGTCTTTGAAATAACTTCTGGTGGTAAGGATAGTTCCGGGGGGGGGGGGCTAGTGCATTCCCAGAGGCAGTTGGCAGTTTTCAGCGATCTAGATTTGTTTGAATTTAGATGTATTCATGGTTGCATTTTCTTTCCCTTAAAGGTATTAATAGTTCTTTCGGGTTAGGTAGTCTCTTTGGGATTACAGCTTTGTGATTTAAGGGGTGCGAAAACCTGGGAGGTTAAAAGCAAGTGTGTGCAAATGCAAAATTTCTTTGGAGCTTTTCAGAGAGCTTGCAGTTCAGATTTTGAATGACCTCACACCAGAGGCCTGTTTTAAATGTCAGAAAGGACAGTCCTTTAAAGCACACACAGAATGCTGTGGCTTTGAGTTGCTGTTTTTAAAATTCAAAATAGGTATTTGCCAGATGAGGATAAGTAGAACCTGTGATAGAACTCAGCTTTGGCTCCAAAAAATGAGCCTTTCCCTCCACATCTTTGTCTTGGCTAATACTTTAAAAATAGATACTTGGTAATCTCATTTATTGAAGAGTGACTTAGTATTTTTGCGTAGGTAGTGTAGGCATATCAATAGTTTTATCAATTCATTCACCACTCACCCTTTTTTCCCCCTTTTTTGGTGGATATGTGTTTCTTTTAAAACAATTTACCCTGTTTGTTTTTATTTCCTTAATTGAGGATCACTGAGATTTATTAAAAGGTAGGTTTGAGCACACATGCATAATATCTGATGATCTTAATCTGTTTTACAATTGGAAAAAAAAAGATTTTAAAATGCCCTTTTCTTGTTTGAAAGTAGAACTTAAAGTGAATTTTTTCAAAGTCAGAAGTAAATTGAGCATTTGTGAATTTTTTAATGATAAAGCGCATTTAGGCCGAAGTAATGCTTTTCAGTGTATTTCATTAAATTTTTTTCTTCCATCAGTACTAGGTAAAGGGAGAAATCTCATTTCTTATTTTGTTTTTGAGAGTGTTCAGCCTATTTTCATTCATTCTCATTTCTCACTATTAATGACATTGGTAGATAGGCATACTAAGTGGCAGTAATTGTACACTAGACCACAGAAGAACAAGTGACATTTTACTTAGGTAGGGTATATCTGTTGCATTCCAGAAGGAACTCCGTAAACTGGACAAGATAGTTTGGCTTTGTCACTTTTACATGTAGATATGAGGGGTTTATGATGAGCACAACAGTCACAGGGGCACAAGTCTTAGCAATGAAGTTCAACATGCAATGAGGTCATTTGAACCCTCATATTAGTAACACAGCAGACCCTGCCCCTCAAGTTTTTAATCACTTTCTGTTTGGTTATAATCACAGTATTGTACAGGTTTGATAAAAAATTATATTTTGTCAACTTTTAAAGTTTTGTATTGTCTGCTGTTGTTGATTTTTGCTGTTTGTGGCAGTTGAATGTCGGAATGAATCATCTACAAGGATAGTATTTATTGTCAGATGGTGGTGGCTCATGCCTGTGAACCTAGCTATTCAGGAGGCTAAGATCTGAGGATCCTGGTTTGAAGCTAGCCCAGACAGGAAAGTCTGAGACTCTTGTCTCCAGTTAACCACCAAAAAAACAGAATTGGAGCTGTGGCTCAATGATAGAGCAACAGCTTTGAGCACAAAAGCTCCAGATAGCACTAAGGCCCTGAGTTCAAGAGCCAGGAGTAGTGCGTGCGTGCCCGCGCGCGCGCGCGCGCACACACACACACACACACACACACGAAAGGATAGGATATATTACTAATTTAGGAAACAGGCGATTGTTAAGAGTACTTGATTTAGATGATAGAGCTTATGTAACAGGCTGGATAATGAAAGTCAGTAACTAATGCTGCCTTCTATGTGTGCATTTGTATACAAGCACAGTAGATTTAGGCACTGTTAGAAAAGGTGCAGATTTGCCCATATGACTTACACTGAAAGACATTTTAGGGTGATGTTGATTATTACATTTTGTTTTAATCTCGGCAGTAGTTTTACAGTTTACATCTGTGTTGTTATTCTTGCAGTTTTCAGGCAACAGGTTTCCTGTCTGGTTAGGCATTTAAATATCTAAGGTGGTTGAGGCCGCAATAACATTATGTAGAATGTGTTTTGGACAGAAATCTTGAATCATTCCATGGTTTTTCCTTCCTATCAGGAAGTATTTGATGACGCCTCACCTGGAAAGCAGAAAGAAATCCAAGAACCAGACCCTACCTATGAAGAGAAAATGGTATGTTGTAGACAGTTGAATAGTCTTATTAAAAACTTAAAAAAATTAAATGCAGAAAATATCTCTTTCAGGGTTAACAGAACATAGTTATCTAAAATATGTATAACATGGGGTGTTACAGTTTCTCTTATTTGCATAAAGTAAATAGAAATGTGATAATTATCTAATTAGCTTATCGTTAAGATTGTAACATCAAGAGTGAGATAAAGGGCTGGGAAGGTGGCTTAGTAGTAGAGTGTAGCATGCATGAAGCCCTGGGTTCAATTCTTCAGTACCACATAAACAAAAAGCCGGAAGTGGTACTGTGGCTCAAGTGACAGAGTGCTAGTCTTGAGCAAAAGGAGCTCAGGTATAGTGCCCATCTGACATTGCATTCTACTGGTTTTAAGGAGTAAGTGTTGTGCTCCTTGTCCACTGCGTTTTTTCCTTTTACTTCTTGAGGTGCTGGAGAATCACACTCTCACATGGTAGTCACGTGATTTGTGAGCTCAGTAGCCCGCCCATCCTGCGAATAGATCTTTACTCCTTTACGTACCCAATTTACACCCTGTTCCTTCTAGGGAACTTTATGATTTGACAGCCATTGTCTACAAAGCACTTTGGATTTAAATTTATTTTTAAGAATAACAGTAATGGGGGCTGGGAAGGTGGCTCAGTGGTAGAGCGCTTGCCTTGCATGCCTGAGGCCCTGGGTTCGATACCTCAGCACCACATAAGCAAAAAGAAAAAAGCCGGAAGTGGTGCTGTGGCTCAAGTGGTAGAGTGCTAGCCTTGAGTTGAAGAGCTGAGGGACAGCGCCCAGGCCCAGAGTTCAGGCCCCACGACTGGACCCAAAAAAAAAAAAGAATAACAGTAATGGCTGACAGTGAATCCTTGCTATGTATCAGGCTCTGTTGATTACTTGGTGTGAACTCAATCACATTGAACTCTTAAGTTAAAATGTGCCAGGCCTTGGTGGCTTACTCCTATATTCCTAGCTACTTAGGTTTGCAGGCCTGGGCAGGATAGTCCAAGACTTTTTATCTCCAGCTAACCCAGAAAAAGCCAGAAGTAGAGCTATGGCTCCTGTGGTAAAGGAAATAGCCTTGAGGGAAAGAAAGTTACAATGTGTTCATTAGTAACATTGTTACATGGCATGTGGCTGAAAGTAGGAACAGTATACCAATCTTCAGTATCTGGCATGGAATGTGATTTTTACCTTGTCCTTCACTTCAAAATCAACAGGTATTTTTGATTCTCTTAGCTTCAAAATCTTAAAATTGTGTTATATATATTTTATGTATATATATATAAGTATATGTATACTTATATATGTATACACAAATATATATGTATATATATATAAGTGGACATACAAAGATGATGTATGTAACCATATTTTAGTACAGTTTAAGATACAAATGATTGTTAACAGGAATTCTTCTACCTGTTATACAAATGCTTCCTCTTACAATCAGATTTATTTAAAGGAAAAACATTTGCAGCTGTTTTTTAGAACTAACATTAAAGTGATTACAGTTTAAAAGTAAATCTAAGTTAATTTTCTACTGCAAGTGATGGATCTACAGGCCATTAACTAATGAATGTGTCTAACTAATGAATGCATATACTTACTGTTAATGAGGGGAAGTTCCCCTTAATATATGCCCAAGGCGTCTATGCCGGTACTTCGTACTTTTTAGTGGTACTGGGATTTGAACTCGGCTTCACTGTTGGAAAGCAAGTATTTCTATCACTTGAAGCACACCTCCAATTCTGGCTTTGTGCTGGTTAATTGGAAATAAGAATTTCACAAACTATTTTGTCTGGTCTGGCTTCAAACTTATATCTTTAGATCTTCAGATCTCCTCCTGAGTAGCTAGGATTTATAGGTATAAACCTCTGGCGCCCTGCTTCATTATTCCTTTTTGCTATGCAGGTCCTGGAGCTTGAATTCAGGCCCTGGGGTTCCTTAGCTTTTTTGCTCAAGGCTAGTACTTTATCACTTTTTTTTTGGTGCTTAATTAGAAATAAGAGTCTCAGACTTTTCTGGACCAAGCAGGCTTTGAGCCACACCCCTCAGATATCAGTAGCTAGGTTTACCAGTGTGAGTTAACACGCCTAACTCAATGTCTTTTAAAGTTGTAACATTTTCATAGTAGCTAGAATTACAAGCATTACCCATCCATACCTGCTCAATGTCTTCATGCTGTAACATTTTCCTCACCAGGTTTCTCAAAGGATAATTTACGTAAAGTTTTAGGTTTGCAATTTGACGAGTTTTGGCTTGTAAATGGAGTCATTTACACACTAGTACAACCAAGATATTGCAGTTTTTATTATCTTAGAGTTTATTCCTGCCCCTTTGCTGTCATTCCTGGTTCTAGCTCATGTCAATTCGAATCTGTTTTCATCATAAGTTAGCATTTCATATATAGTTAGTAGACTCCTATAGCAGTCAGTTGTATTTAGTGCTTGTCATTTGGCAATGTGCTTTTGAGTCCCATTTATGTTGCAGGTTTTAATTGCTTGATTTTTTTTTTAAATCTAAATTCATCATGTAGAGCCAAGTTTAAACTGGTTTCTGAAGTTTTGATGAAATGTGTGTTAACTTTTTTTGTTGTTGTTGCAGCAAACCGACCGAGCAAATAGATTTGAGTATTTATTAAAGCAGACAGAGTTGTTTGCACATTTCATTCAGCCTGCTGCTCAGAAGACTCCAACCTCACCTTTAAAGATGAAGCCAGGGCGCCCACGAATAAAGAAGGATGAGAAACAGAACTTACTCTCAGTTGGCGAGTGAGTAATAAAATCACCCAACTTAATTATTCTCAGTAAAGCTTAAAATGTGTTGTAGTTTGGCCTGGCTAGAATGTCATAGTGTCTCCATAAGTGTTACAAGTATTTCAAATAGGTATTCTTAATCTTTTACATCATTAAGTGCTTTATGCATTTTAACAGGTGTTTTATAGAACATGGGATTCAGAGGCTGTGCCGTTCCTTAGAGAAATTATCAATGTAGAAGTTAAGTGTTTTATTCTGCATCTCTTAAAAGTAGATGGTGTCATCAGGGTTGAACATGGCTCTGGCTGGGGTGTATGTTGTGGTCTCCTAAACCACATACATACATTAAAGGTGGTACTTGGAAGTCTAGTCTGGTGGGTATCATGATAATTTATGCCACAGCAGTTTTGCACCTCTTAGTTTAAAAGCTATATTGTTAGGGAGAGTTTATAAAAATGTCAAAGTTTATGAGAATAATTTGGGTGGAGTAGAGATTGGCTCTCCATTTCAAGTTAGATGCAGAAGAGTACAGGAAGTAATACTAAGACACATTCCGATTAGAAACTCATATGACAAGCAGGAAGGCCCTTGAGGAGGCGCTTCTGAGGAATGCTCCTGTTCTTGGCCTGGGAAGGGTCACTGGCTATCTGTTAGCTGTCTGGCTAGTAGGTTGAGAATAGTACCTGGTAGTTCAACTGAAAAGGCAAAATTCACATTTGATTTTATTTTCATTGTTGTAGCTATCGACACCGTAGGACGGAGCAAGAGGAGGATGAAGAATTACTAACAGAAAGCTCCAAAGCAACCAATGTGTGCACTCGATTTGAAGATTCTCCCTCATGTATGTCAAATATATCTCATTGATTGTTTTAAAAAATATTTTCCTTGAAAACATATTTTGGATTTGCCTTCGCTGTAACTTACAAAGGGCATCTTCAGTAATCTCAGATATTTGTATTGGTTGTGAATAAGCTTCAGATTTGGGTATTATCTATTTGAATTCAGACTTATGGCATTGAGGCTGGGTGGGCAAAGACTACCACTTGAGCCACCCATCCCCTTTTTACTATATTTGTGTAGGACTTTGTGTTTTTCATAAGGCTAGCCTTTGGCTGCGATCCTTCTACCTCTGCCTCCCAAGTAGCTGGGACAGTAGGCATGTGCCATACGACAGAACTTTTTTTTTTTTGAGGTAGTGACACGAACTTTTTTCCTTGTGCTACTCTTGAATGGTGATCTTCCTATCTCTGCCTTTCCAGGAGATGGGATTACAAGCATGAACCTTCATTCCTGGTTCTTTTATTTTCCTTTTCTTGAGATAGCATCTCACAAGGTAGCCCAGGTTGGCCTTGAGATTGTTGAGCCTCAGTCTTCCAAGTACTGAGTTTATAGGTATGTACCATTGTGCCTTGTGAAAGGTGTTTTTTTTTTTTTTAAACGGAGCTGGTACTATATTATAGAAGAGTGGTATTATATTTCAGAGGTGTATAAAATGCCATTTAATTTTTTATTGTCCTAAGGCACATGTGAAAGTTGGAATTGTTTTGCCATGTATTTGTCACAGGTAAAGAAAACTAAGGGCTGGGAAGGTAGCTCAGTGGTAGAGTGCTTGCCTTGCATGCTTGAGGCCCTGGGTTTGATTCCTCAGCACCACATAAGCAAAAGAAAAAAATGCCGGAAGTGGCGCTGTGGCTCAAGTGGTAGAGCGCTAGCCTTGAGCTGAAGAGCTGAGGGACAGTGCCCAGGCCCAGAGTTTAGGCCTCACGACCGGCCCCCCCTCCCAAAAAAAAAAAAAGAAAACTAACAACAAACAAAAAATAATGAAGAATTTGACTTACTCATTTCCTAATATATTTTTTATGCTTCCCCCCCTCCATTCCCCTTCCCCACCGTGCCCTTTGGTGCTGGTCCAGGGCTTGAACTCAAGGCCTGGGCTCTGTCCCTGAAATTTTTTTGCTCAGAGGCTACAGTTATACCACTTGCCACTGTTCCACTTCCAGCATTTTTTGGCAGCTAGTTGGAGATGAGAGTCTCATAGACTTTTTTGAACTGCCATCCTTTGATCTTATCCTCCTGAGTAGCTAGGTACCAGCTTTCATGGTATTTTTTGTTGTTGTTGGTCGTGGGGCTTGAACTCTGGGCCTGGGTGCTGTCTCTCAGCTCTTCAGCTCAAGGCTAGCGCTCTACCACTTGAGCTACAGCGCCACTTCCGGTTTTCTGGTGGTTTATTGGAGATAGGAGTCTCACGGTCTCTCCTGCCCAGGCTGGCTTTGAACCGCGATCCTCAGATCTCAGCCTCCTGAGTAGCTAGGATTACAGGCGTGAGCCACCAGCGCCCGGCCATGTTAATTTTTAATACTTAATTTTATCTGTCTATCTCTATCCCTTAGATTTTTTTTGTTGTTGTTGTTGGTTTTTGTTTTTGGTCGGTTGTGGGGCCTGAAGTCTGGGCCTGGGCGCTGTCCTTCAGCTCTTCAGCTCAAGACTAGCACTCTACCACTTGAGCCACAGTGCCACTTTTCTGCTTGTGTGGTGCTGAGGAATCGAACCCAGGGCCTCATGCATGCAATGCAAGGCAAGCACTCTACCATTGAGCCACCTTCCCAGCTATCCCTTAGCTTTTTTGCCCAAGGCTGGTGCTGTATCACTTGAGCCACATCTCACTTCTGTCTTTTTGTTGGTTAATAAGAGATCAGACTCTCATGGATTTTCCTTCTCTGGGCTGTCTTCGAACCTTGATTCTCAGATCTCAGCTTTAAGTAGCTAGAATTATAATCATGACCCACTAGCACCCAGCCAGTTCCAATTTTTTTGCCAGTTAGTTGGAGAGTCTCTCCAATTTGTCTGCTCAAGCTGTCTTGGCTGTCTTCTCTGCCTGTCCATCTGCTACTATTCTGTTCCAGACCTTATAATCTACCTGTGAAAACTTCCCCTAATGACAGAATTTCCTGAAGTGAAAGTAATGTTAGTAAACACATGGGCCTCTAGTTAAACCTCTGAGTCTTAGATAAAGGAGGTGTGGTATTTGATGTTTTAAAAATCTGCATTATGGTTTTTCTTTTGTTCTTAGATGTCAAATGGGGTAAACTAAGAGATTATCAGGTCCGAGGATTGAATTGGCTTATTTCTTTGTATGAGAACGGCATCAATGGTATCCTTGCAGATGAAATGGTATGTGTTCAATAGTATTTCTTTCAAGGCCATATTTCATAAAGATATTGTTTATAAAGTTTGTATAAGATTCAGTTTTGTAAATTATAGTCTAGGGCTGATAACTAATTTTCCTTCAAACCACTATGAACAGCTTGTTTTATTTTCATAAATGAGCTTCACTTGTGAAGAATTATCTATGAGAGTAAAGTTTTAGAAAAACCTTTACATAGTTGTATAATTCAACATTTTATGTGTATAATACATGTATAACACTTTTTTTTAATGTGTGCTGGCCCTGGGACTTGAATTCAGGGCAGACGCCGTCTCAGCTTTTGTACTCAAGGCTAGCACTCTTATCACTGGAGCCACAGCTACACTTTGACTTCTCATGGTTAATTGATATAAGAGTCTCTTAGACTTTCCTGACTGGTTTGGCTTTAAGCTGTTATCTTCAGATCTCAGCCTCCTAGATCGCTAGAACTATAAACCTGGCGTGTTCAATGCATGTTGATCAGTCTTAGTCCTTCAGTCAGAGAAAAGGCTTTAAAATAACACATTTTGCATATGTTAGTCTTTCAGGCTAGTTTTTAACATTAGTCCTTAGAGCTTAGCCTTCTGAGTATCTAGGATAACAGACGTAAGCCACCAGTAGTACCTGGCTTTGTTTTACTTCAGTACTACAATAGTTTGACTCTCTCTCTGCTCTTTTGTTGAAAAAGAAACAAGTGGGCCATTGGTTGTGTATAATCTATAAATGTGAATGCTTTCCAGGTTTGTTTCATAAAACAGTCTCCTGTTTAATACTTACTAGTTACATGATTAAGGTGGCAAAAGGTTCCTTATCTCTACAGTGGTAAAGCAATTTGTTGTTGGGATGATGTATGAAATCAGAAGAACTGTGTTTTAGTTCTAGGTCTGCTAAGCTCCTTGGGAATGACACACTTTTCTGGGCCTTCGGTGGTGATGATCATAGACTTGGAGGATTAGGTGACAGCATTTGGCAGCTTTCCTGTCTGTTAGCTTCGTGACATATGTTATAGCCACTAAACACAACATTTCTTTTCAATGTCCATATGCATATGTATGTATTTATGGAGGTATTAATACGAAATACTTTTTGTGTCTTTCTTTGCTTTATGTATGTGCTGAATTTTTAGGGTCTGGGGAAGACTCTTCAAACCATTTCTCTGCTTGGATACATGAAACACTATAGAAACATTCCTGGTCCTCATATGGTTTTGGTTCCTAAGTCTACATTACACAACTGGATGAGTGAATTCAAGAGATGGGTACCAACACTTAGATCTGTTTGTTTGATAGGAGATAAAGAACAAAGAGTAAGTTTATAGTATTTCACTGTACTTGGGATATTAAAGGAATTGGAATTGGGACTTGGGGTGGGAGAATAGGGAGAGAAAAGGAAAACCATTTTCAACATTTACAAAGGTAAGCTTTAGGAACTTATAAGTGGTACTTTTCAAGGGAGTGGTTATTTGGAAAAGACGGCAAAGACAGGTCTGTAGGAATATTGTTTGCTTCTCTTTTTGGAAATGATTACAAGTATAATCTTGTTTTTAAAGAGGCTTTGAATGTGTGAAGTTACTAGAACTTTCAGGAGCTGGATTTTGAGATTTATATATCATGGTAATTTGGTGGACTGTTAGGATACTCTTTTAGAAAGAAGATATAGAAATATTTAATATAGAATTCAGACTTGCAATTATTCACAGTGTATTATAAATGATTTTTGTTTTCCCTTCAGTTAGCTATCTGATGCTTCTATATTTTGTCTTTTCTCCTTTTATAGATACTTAGGGTATTCTAAGTTATCAGCTTGCTTTTTTTTGAAGTTCAGTTGCCTAATCATTCTAGTATTACAGATGTGAGCCACCAGCTACAAAGTTTTGTGCTGGTTGACCTTATCTTTTCTCTCTCTCCTTTTTTTTTTAACCTGTCACATAAATGATCAATGAAGTTATTTTAGTGGTGACAGAACTAGTTCTAAATTTTACATAATACCACTAGAATTATTCTCACTCCCTTTTTTATGTGTTTGATTACTTTATAAATAAGTGTCTAATTGATTCCTGAGTGGTGAATTTTCTTTCTCTTGCTATACAGGCTGCTTTTGTACGGGATGTTTTATTACCAGGAGAATGGGATGTGTGTGTGACATCTTACGAGATGCTTATTAAGGAGAAGTCTGTGTTCAAAAAATTTAACTGGAGATACTTGGTTATAGATGAAGCTCATAGGATCAAAAATGAAAAATCTAAGGTAATTTGTTATTTCCATGTGAGAATTTTGCCTTTATTTGAGACTGACCCATATTCAAAATGTTGTCTCAATGGAATTTGACTCTTTCAGCTGTCAGAAATAGTGCGGGAATTCAAGACCACAAATCGGCTGTTACTCACTGGAACACCTCTGCAGAATAACTTACATGAGCTGTGGTCACTTCTGAATTTTTTGTTACCAGATGTGTTTAATTCAGCTGATGTAAGTATTTCTAATAGTTTTCTATTTTATTTAATGATTTATCTTGCTCTCTGCTTTTTTTTCCTTCAGAGGAAAAAAAATGGTTAGAACTCACAACATTGGGTTTGCTAGACTAGCACTCTGCCATTTGAACTTTGCTTCCAGACCTTTCTGCTTTAGTTTTTTATTGTTGTTTTACGTAATCTTGTGTTTTGGCTCAGGGCTGGGCTGGGCTGGCCTGAACTCTTACCTACAGCCTATAGCTGTTCACTATATAGCTGTTTACTGTCACACTGCTTATTTGTTGAGAACAGGGTTTTGCTAATTTTTTGCCTAACTGGCTGTAACCTGTTCCCTGTAGACTGACCTGTTTCCTGTGTACCTGAATTACAGGTGTGCACTAGCACATCCATCCTGATTCCATTTGTTTTTATAGTAGAACATAGTCTGCCTTTTTAGTTCATTCATTTTTACATGCTTCTGTGTAGTAAGGCTGGTCTTAAATTTGATGATGCAATCTGTTAATTTACTTTTGAGCCTTTGGGTTTAGTATGTTACATCAGTTTTCTCCATTGGAACAGTGGGATCTTACTTAACAATCATGTTGGCTTAACTCTGTAAGTAAGGGTTTAAGATAGACTGCTTATTTTTGTAGCATTTGCAAGTGAATTGCTAATTTCACAATGCTTGTGTTTTGAAGTTCAGAGGTGGCTTCAGATGTGGTAATATCTTTCTAACCTCTTTCACATTGTAATCTCTTTATAGATTATTTGCATAGTAGATTTGGTAGCAGTACTTAATTATTAGTCACATGAAGGAACATACACTTTGTATACCAAGAGTCTGTGATGTTAGTAATTGGATTTTGCTGGGCCACAGTTCATTGTTGAGCCTTGATTTCCTCATCTGGAGTGTGTATACAGAAAACTTTGAAGAGCTCCATGCTAGTACATGTATAGAAGTAAGTTCTAGAAAGATACTCATTTTGATTTATTAAGGATCTTTTTTTTTTTTTTTTGGTCAGCCATGGGCCTTGAACTCTGGGCCTGGGCGCTGTCCCTCAGCTCTTCAGCTCAAGGCTATTGCTTGGACTGCCACAATGCCACAGCGCCACTTCCAGTTTTCTGGTAGTTTATTGGAGATAAAAATCTCCAATCTGCCTAGACTGGCTTTGAACCAGGATCCTCAGATCTCAGTCTTCTGAGTAGCTAGGATTACAGGCGTGAGCAACTGCTCCTGGCTTAAGGATGTTTTTAAAAAACAGAAATTTGTGTTATAAAAAGATGCTTAAGGCACATACCTAAATCCTACTTACTCAGAATGCTGAGGTCTGAGGATTGTGATTCAAGGTCACTGGGCAAGAGAATTGTGAGACTGTCGCCTCTAATTAACTACCTAAAAGCTGAAAATGGAGGTGTGGTTCAAGTGGTAGAATGACAGCCTTAAGCTGAAGTGTGAGATCCTAAATTCAAGCCCCAATAACTAGTACATACACAAAGATATTTAGTCAGATTGGAAGGTTTAAACTGAATGTTTGAGGTAAGGGTAAGGAAATTGTCTTTATTCAAATCCTATCCAAATACTAACTAAATGCCTTTTACCTCCCTTTGTTAATCAAAATTGGCAATGTTGGGGCTGGGAAGGTGGCTCAGTGGTAGAGCGCTTGCCTTGCATGCGTGAGGCCCTGGGTTCGATTCCCCAGCACCACATAAGCAAAGAAAAAAAGAAAAAAAGCCGGAAGTGGCGCTGTGGCTCAAGTGGTAGAGTGGTAGCCTTGGGCTGAAGAGCTGAGTGACAGTGCCCATGCCCAGAGTTCAGGCCCCACAACCGGACCCAAAAACAAAACAAAACAAAACAAAATTGGCAATGTTCAAGAAACCTTGTATTGAGGATTTTAATTATTTCTACTAAACGTTTTCAGACCCTTTATTATGAAATCTGTCATCTTTATTTTTTTTAATTTCTTTGTGCTTTCTTTATATTTTTGAGTAAAATACGTAGGAAATAATTGTTCTCTAATCAGAATCTGAAAAAATTAGTGGCTTAGACTAAGTGGTCTTTGTACTTCACAACCCTACATTATATTAATTCTAGACATCATTACTGGTATTATCAGACATTTGTCATCAGTATCTCTGACCTTAAGATATTTTTTGTTAATGTAGGACTTTGATTCCTGGTTTGATACCAACAACTGCCTTGGGGATCAGAAGCTAGTTGAGAGGCTTCATATGGTAAGTGTTTTGGAGCAGTATCCAATACATTCTAATAGGAAGCAAGTTGAGATTTAAATAAGTAGGTTATTTTCCAGTTAAGAAAAAAGCATGGGAGCCGGGCGCTGGTGGCTCACGCCTGTAATCATAGCTATTCAGGAGGCTGAGATCTGAAGATTGCAGTTCAAAGCCAGCCAGAAAACTGGAAGTAGCGCTGTAGCTCAAGTGGTAGAGCGCTCGCCTTGAACTGAAGAGCTGAGGGACAGCGCCCAGGCCCAGAGTTCAAGCCCCATGACTGACCAAAAAAAAGAAAAAAGCATGGGGCAGGGAAGGTGGCTCAGTGGTGGCGCAGTGGTAGAGCGCTTGCCTTGCATGCATGAGGCCCTAGGTTCGATTCCTCAGCACCACATAAGCAAAAAGAAAAAAGCCGGAAGTGGCGCTGTGGCTCAAGTGGTAGAGCGCTAGCCTTGAGCTGAAGAGCTGAGGGACAGTGCCAAGGCCCAGAGTTCGGGCTCCACTACCGGACCCAAAAAAAAAAAAAAAAGAAAAAAGCATGTTTACTGTAGCATCAGATCAGTTTGCATTTTGCCATCTAACTGTTGTTAAATGGGGTAGGGAAGCGATGTGTGGTGGTTTTAACTGTTGAAACCTGGGATGGATTTTAAGTTAATTGTCAGGAAAAGTACAGTGGGAGGGTGGAAGAGTCACTTAATGATTAATTAGTTTTTTGTTTGTTTGGTGTTTTGTGTCCCCCCCCCCCCTCCCAGTCCTAGGGCTTGAACTCAAGCCTGGGCACTGTCCCTGAGCTTCATTTGCTCAAATTTGCCCTCTACCACTTGAGCCACAGTACCACTTCTGGCTTTTTCTGTGTATGTGGTACTGAGAATTGAACCCAGGGCTTCATCTTCATGCATGCTAGGCAAGCACTCTACCACTAGGTCACATTCCCAGCACTTTAGACAGCTTTTTAAAGCTTAGTGTTATTTCGATTCCATAGATGAATCTAACATTGTGGAAAGGACTAATGATCATGTTGTTTGCAAATCTAATGACAGGATATGAAGCAACAAATAGCTGAATTAGTAACGGGGTCCATACTGTAGGTTTTACTTTGATAGATAGCTTTGTTTATTCCTTCCTTTAAAAATTGACACAAAATAGTTGTTAGAGAAATTTATCTTACTATGCTTGAGATACCCTTCTTCAGTATGAAGCAGAACCTTACCAACTACCTTATATAAGGTTCTGTCATTACCTACAGCAGGGACTTTGGAGTCTGTTGATATTTTGGTCTGGATAAGTCTTCAGAGGTGGGAAGAAAAAAGACTGTAATCACCTAGCCATTTCTGAAGCGTTATCACAAAGTCTGTGTGCAAGTAACTAATTCTAATTCTGAAAACATATTTGAAGTGTATCATTTCTAATATTTTGTGAGAGTAAGTTTAATTGTATTATTACTTTCTGGGTGTTCAATAACAAATCAGAAATTTGAAATGGTGAAGTCTTAAATGTTATTTAATATTTAAGCAGAGAAATTTCTTTTCCATGTATTTAACACAAGATTTTAAGATTTTTGAAATAATATCAACATTACACATAAGGTTATATCTGTTACTTTCTATTTTCCTCAAGGTTTTGCGTCCATTTCTTCTTCGTCGAATTAAGGCTGATGTGGAAAAGAGTTTGCCTCCAAAGAAGGAAGTCAAAATCTACGTAGGTCTCAGCAAAATGCAGAGGGAATGGTATGTGTTCTGAGATGTTTGATATTACTATTTTCTTTTCTTTTTTCTTTTTTTCTTTCTTTTTTTTTTTTTTGGATCCGGTTGTGGGGCCTGAACTCTGGGCCCTGGGCTCTGTCCCTCAGCTCTTCAGCTCAAGGCTAGCGCTCTACCACTTGAGCCACAGCGCCACTTCCGGCTTTTTTCTTTTTGCTTATGTGGTGCTGAGGAATCGAACCCAGGGCCTCATGCATGCAAGGCAAGCACCCTACCACTGAGCCACCTTCCCAGCCCCTGATATTACTGTTTTCTAATTTTCATTTGACCAATAATTGATTGGTACTGGTGTTTGAACTGAGGGTCTAAGGCCTACTACTAGACAGGCAGGTAGGCTCTCTGCCACTTGAACCTAATTTGTGTTTTCACGGACTTCCTGTTGGCTGAATTGAGCTGAATATTAGAGTGACTTAGGGCTTAGCCATCACATTCACAGAGTCTTGAATGGAATATATAGGATGGAAGTATGGTGAATTTATGGAGTCATGAATCTAAATATTAAATTTAAGATGCAATTTATCAAGCTGTAAGAGAACTCAATTTGGGATTTTAACTTTATTTGTATTTATTTACTTATTTTGGGGCCAGTGTTATACTGGTGCTTGAACTTAGAACTTCTTACTCTTGCTTGGCTTTTTCACTCAAGGCTGGTGATCTACCAGTTGAGCTTCAACTGGCCTCATGGTTGGTTAGTTGGAGAGAAATCTCACAGACCACCTGGTATGTGACAGTCATAATTGCTTGCCTATAAGGTAAGCATTAGTAGGTAACATTTTCAATCACACCAGTGTCATGGAAAACTTTTTTTCCTCTTAGATCACTTGCAGCCAATCCCGGAATTACAGCATTTCATAATTTTTTCATTATAGCTATTTGTGGGCTCAGGTGGGGAGAGGGATTAAGTATATAAAGTGACAGAGAATGGTCAGGGAACATTTGTGCCCTCTTAAAAATACGTTTCTTATCAATAGGTATACTCGGATATTAATGAAGGATATAGACATACTAAACTCAGCAGGAAAGATGGATAAAATGAGGTTATTGAATATCCTAATGCAGTTGAGGAAGTGCTGTAATCACCCATACCTCTTTGATGGAGCAGAACCTGGTCCACCTTACACAACAGATATGCATCTGGTTACCAACAGTGGCAAAATGGTGGTACTAGACAAGTTGCTCCCCAAATTAAAAGAACAAGGTATGTATCTGTGGTATTGGTATCAAATTGAGAGGTAATGAAGACTAATAGTTCTAATGTTAACAAGGAACACAGTACTTTGAAATGACTGCTCTTCCACTTTCTAATGTTGAAGTGTGAAACATTAACAATCTGTATTCCCAGCTACACTGGAGACTGTGATTGGGAGGTTGATATCTGAAGTCTATCAAGGCAGAATGGTACAGGTGTTAGAATAAGTGGAAGTCCCTGAGTTTAATCTCCAGGACTGACAAAAAAACCTCAAAAAAACTCCACAAAACCATATTAGATACATTTTGGCTAACCACCTCTATCCTAATTTTAGGCCTTAAGTCTTTTTTTTTTTTGGTTGGTCTTGGGGCTTGAATTCTGGGCCTGGACATGACACTGTCCCTGAGCTCTTCAGCTCAAGGCTAGCACTCTACCACTTGAGCCACAGTGCCACTTCTGGTTTTCTGGTGGTTTATTGGAGATGAGTCTCATGGACTTTCCTGCTCCGTCTGGCTTTGAACCGCGATCCTCAGATCTCAGCCTCCTGAGAGCCACCTGCACTGGCTTGGCCTTAAGTCTTTTAGAAGGTAATAAATAGTGACAACAGCCAAAGTCCCTAGATTTAGGGACAAGTTCTCATTTTATATAAGCTTTTTGAGAAATTTCATGTTTTTTTAATATCAATAATGCATATCATATGCTTTGTTGGATAATGGTGGTTTTTTGTTGTTGTTCAGGGTGTTTTCCAATTAAGTTTTTAACTGAATGTCATTTACATGAGCTTAGAAACATTCTAGTTATGGTGAATTTTTTGTGTGAAAACATGCATAGCTATATTTAGATTACCTAACTGCAGAACTTAGTGTGAAGACAGCTTCAGCATTAACAATGAAAACTTGTTACGCTACACCTTTCCTTCTACAGCATTTGAAATGTACCCTAAACATTGCAGTATTTCATAAATTGTTTATTATATGGCTCTTAAGAAATAACACTTTGGCTGCACGCTGGTGGCTCAACGCCTGTAATCCTAGCTACTCTGGAGGCTGAGATCTGAGGATCACGGTTCAAAGCCAGACGGAGCAGGAAAGTCCATGAGAGTCTTATCTCCAGAAAATGGGAAGTGGTACTGTGGCTTAAGTGATAGAGAGTTTGCTTTCAGCTGAACAGTGCCCAGGCCCAGACTTCAAGCCCCACAATCAACAACAACAACAACAAAAAAGAGTTGGGTGCTGGTGGCTCAGGCCTGTAATCCTAGCTACTCAGGAGGCTGAGATCTGAGGATCAC